TTACAGGAGCCACCCCTGTAACCCCCCCTGCTACCAAAACCTTGCCACATAAAACCAATACAAGAAAGAAGAGTTTTAATTTTTGTTTTCAGCTTCCTGCAGTTACAGCTGCTTAAATGTATTGCTTTGACTAAACTCACATGTTACAATCAATCAGTGTGAACTCTTCTGTTCCTTAGGTTCCTAGCAGCTATCCTGGTAACTAAAAAGCAAAGTATGTATATGTTGTTTAAAGAGAGATGGGTAAGGAGGCTGTTTATTTCTTTCAGGTACAATGAATTGTTATTTATTATTGATACTTGTCAAGGAGCATCCATGTATGAACGATTTTATTCACCTAATATAATGGCCTTGGCTAGCAGCCAAGTAGGAGAAGATTCTTTATCAGTAAGTAGATTTTTGTGATCCTGAAGACAATTTTCAAAGTACCTGAGCTAAAAGCATAGGTCCCATTGACTTTTATCTAAAAAATTCCCTTCTAATTGCTAAGTGTGTAAGGTATTTAGTTACAAAGTGTGGTTTTGAAAAAACTTTTAAGTGTGCTTTTCCTGCTTGTTTTTGTGCACTGTCCCAAAGACCCAGGCTAACAATGGATTTCTGTGCTTGCTGGCCAATTTATGCATTGCCTAGGATAGGAAGAAATTTTATGGGAAGACTGCTGGGAGGTTTGTGGGGAATATTCAGTCTAGGACTTCTTACACGTGATGCACAAAAAAAGTACCCGCTACCTTTCAGGTTTCGTAATTATATCCCAGCTGAGTTGCAGAAGGAGCGATAGGAGAGAGATCCTAGCCAGATCAAAACCAGCAGGTCAGGATTACCTTAACCTGTCTCTCTCAGCCCTGTTTTCCAAGTCCAAAGAAGCTTCAGACAGCCCACAAATCTGTACTGGACATTAAGAAGTAGGGGTTCCCTGCTTTTTTGCAAACACAGAGATTACCAGGATATAGCCCAGAAAAATGAAGATAAACTGTATTATTCAGCCTGTCAACAATACGTTTCTTCATGGCTAGTAATTTTCTTTGCCTAAGAAGAAAAAAACATGCTTAACTTTTGTAACATGCTATTACATTCTGTTCCCTCTCTTAAATACTGAGTTCTCTCCTGCAAATGCTGAATAACTGCTGTGTATTGTTTTTAAGCATCAACCTGATCTTGGGATTGGCGTTCATCTTATGGACAGATACACATTCTATGTGCTAGAGTTCTTGGAAGAAATTCATCCAGCCAGTCAGACAAATATGAATGACTTAGTAAGTAGAATATTCAACATTCATGAATATGCTAATGACGTTAACAGTTTCAAAACTAATTTATTTTGTCTGTAGGGTTCTCCAAATGCTTTTTGTTCTCCTGCTGTTTCTCTGGGAAGCAGCTTTGAGGGGAGGGTCTTTTTGCCATTATTAAATGTAGTTGTGTAACACTTCAAGGATTGTCCTCTGTGGAAGTGGTTTGCTGGCTACAGAAAACATTAACCAAAATTAGCTAGATTTTTTTTTTAATGATTGAAAAATGAATGAAGTATTCATTTAATATTCATTTCAATGGAGTGAAGTATTTGCACATGAAAAATGATAGTGGGAAGCTTCTAAAATGACCTTAATGAATAGGAGACACTTTGCAGATGGGGAAAGGCAGCCATTGATATTATTTTGCAAAGGTGATTAAACAGTTAAAATTCTATCCGTGCACTCACAAACACTGCAGAGACTAATTTCTCTCTATATCTGCTTAGATTCCAGAGTAATATATGTCCAAATACATCAGGTTTTGGAGTTAATTATATCTTAGGTAAATATTAATTGTAGCTTTCAGGTACAAGGCAGGAGGAAGAAAAAAATACCAACCAGATAACCTATGACAAATTCTATGAAAATGCCTCTCTAACAGTTAGATGTATACACTGGTGAGACTACATAAAAAGTAACCATATTTTATTTACTCTATTAACCCTTTATACACGTTCCCATACTAGTTTCATTGTAATAATACATTATGCTTTGGTGCCTTGTAGCTGTAAATCCTGACATGCTGTGTCAGTGATCTAAGAGCCACCACTTACAGAACACGTTGTCTTTGATTCATTTCTGTAAAAGGAGCAGCTGCTCAAAAGTTTTATGCCACCCTCTGTCTACAGAGGATGGTGTTAGCCTGGCTGCTAGATGTGTAGTAGAATTCACTCTAAACAGCCCACACTTGACAGATTTTGTGTTGTTAACAGAATTGATTCAGTGACTAAGATTCAAGATTCATTTACTGCCATGGGAATGAAATTCTGTCCTGTAATTTAATACCCTCTGATCATGGGGTACAGATAACTTAAAAATAAATCTTGTTATAGAAGAATATGCAAGTTCTCTATTGATTAAGTATCTTATTCTAGCCAGTTCATTCAAACAGCACTTTAGAACTCTATTCTGTAAAGCAGAAAATGAATTGATGTTAAAAAGAAGTCATAAAAAATTAACAGTGGTTTCTACTGTATAAGACACCATCTGGGAAATGGTGTAACTGGTCTAGCCAGCTGGATATTAATCCAGTTGTTGTGAAAATTGTAGGAAACTTGTTAGCTGGCCAAGTAGTTTACCTTTTGAGCTCTTTGAAGAAGGTATCTAAACATTCTTCCTTGCGTTTTTGTTTTTGCTTATATGCCAAACGCTCAGGAAGAGCTGTGGGAAGTTAGCCCATACTGGTGAATTCCTTACATTGTGTTTAAGTCATCTTATCGTACGTCGATCGGCTTATTGTTCCTCAGGGAAGGGAAGAGAATGGACCCAAATATATCATGATTTGTGATGATCACGTACTGAGTCATAATGTGCACGTATTTCAGCAAACATGACCTCTTGATTTTGAGTTCATGCTTTTCAGGACTTCATCTAAGAGTTCCAAAATGACATATGGTTAGTCCATGGTAAGGATATAAGCCCATTTATTTGCCAACAGTTACAGGAGATACTTTGGCACTGGAATGCACTGTTAGTGTTGTGCTGGTTTAAGAACAAAGACCTACTGCTTATCCAAGCCTGATTTTTTTTAAAAAATAATACCATCCAAACTCAGGATAACATATGAAGTGGCTCACTAACTAGCCTTAAAATTATTAGCTAATGTTTAGTTGTTTGATCTTATGATATATCTAATGTCTGCTCTTTTAGAAGTTGTCCTGGTTTCAGCTGGGATAGAGTTAACTGTCTTCCTAGTAGCTGGTACAGTGCTATGTTTTGAGTTCAGTATGTGAAGAATGTTGATAACACTGATGTTTTCAGTTGTTGCTCAGTAGTGTTTAGACTATAGTCAAGGATTTTTCAGCTTCTCATGCCCAGCCAGGGCACCTGACCCAAACTGGCCAACAGTGTATTCCATACCATGGGACGTCCCATCTAGTTTAGGAACTGGGAAGTGGGGGGGCAGGGATTCGCCGCTCGGGGACTGGCTGGGGGGCGGGCGGCGGGTGGTGAGCAATTGCCCTGTGCATCATTTGTACATTTCAATCCTTTTATTACTACTGTTGTCATTCTATTAGTGTTATCATTATTATTAGTTTCTTCTTTTCTGTTCTATTAAATCATTCTTATCTCAACCCACGAGTTTTACTTCTTTTCCTGATTTTCTCCCCCATCCCACTGGATGGGGGGGGAGTGAGTGAGCGGCTGCGTGGTGCTTAGTTGCTGGCTGGGGTTAAACCACGACAGAAGTACTGTGTATTTGTTACACCGCTTCTATCCCATCACCTCTTTACTTCTCTCCAGCTACTCTTAAAACAGCTTCTCTTCACATCCACCTAAGATTTGGATATTGCATTCCTGCAAAGAATGAGACATCTTTTTTCATAATCCACTCCACCTACTCCCCACCTGCTCCATCTGTGTTGCTAAGGGATAGCATAAAGCTGTGCAAATGACTGAGTTTCGGTTTGATCACAATTCCAAAAAAGTAAAGACTAAATTGAAATGTCACACATTTGAACTTTTAAAATGAGATTCAAATAAATTTCTAAATGGGATATCATTTGTCATAAAATACCTAAAAATGTTGTTAAGAAAAGTCAAGATAACAAAGTTCCCGTTTGGGGGAATTGTTTAGCTTTAGTTGAATAGTATCTTATTTAAAAAAAAATTGGAAGAATCTACACATGAACAAATGTATTTCATTTAGCCAGTGTTCCCCCCCCCCCCTTTTTTTTTTGTCAGAAGATGTCAGTTATTAGTGTTAATCTGCTGTGGTGTAATTGCTTTGCAGGTCTTTTCTCACACAGGTACTATATAGGTAGATTTTTAATACTGAAGCCTTCTTCTCAGTGCCATTGCACATTTTTTTTTTTGTTCAAGATTCATCTCAGCATCTTATGGTAGGAAATTGTTGTGGGACAGGTTAGAAATAGTTGGGTGCAGTATCAATTTCCCACTTTCAGTGCTGATGCAGTTGTTTTGGGACATTTATACTCTCCTGAGAGCTTGGAAGAGAGGCTCAATGGTATAACTGCAGCATAGATTTATGCATCAAATAGCAGGATTAAAACAAATACTTACTTTTATTGCTTACTTCAGAGACTTAGTTTTTATGTTTGAGCCCTTAGTTGGAGCAGAGTTGAAGAAAATTTATTGCATTTTGGTGAAACTGAAACTTAAGAGGGTTTGTGTGCATTGACAAGTGGCTTTGTAGGGGAAGTGTGATACTGATGAGTCTAGTTCATTTTCACTTCACAGGGAGGATAACAGAAAGATTTGATCTGCCCCTATCATTTCTTCAGCAGCTGTGTGATACTCTGTCAACAAGAGAGTTGGGAATCATTAAAAAAGAGCTCAGTGGATATGTGTGCTTGTATGCTTCAGTTAAGGTAAAGGTGAAAGTGAGCTGAAGTCTCCCTGGACCAGCAGCCTAATGCCATATGCTTACAGGCTTAGACAAAAAAGACAAAGTATGAAAGAGAAACTGTAATGAGGCAGAAGGGAGGAATGGGGAGATAGAATCTGTCCTCTATGAAGAAAAGCCAGGTACCTTGTTTCCTCTCTGGGAAACTTTTTAAATGTAGGGCTTCTGTTGTCCTAAGAGAAGAAGCCACAGAAGCCCATGCATTTTGCATCAGGCTGAGCACAGAATTTCTGCTAGGAAATATGGACTGAAACTCACAGGTTTTGTCAGTCATAATCTGGGATACTTGAGGTTGCATCTGCATTGAGCTAATTAGGAGCTATGATTTTGTCCTAAGAATGCAACCTTCTAAGAGCTGACCCATGACTAATGTAATTAGGTGTATGAGCTCTGGACCTAGTGCCTGATGGACCTGTTTGTGAAAATCACTTGGAGAATTTAAGATTAAGGAAGATGAGTACCCATGTGGAGAGCATCCTTCATAGTCCTGTACGTTCTTCTGTTCTGTTAAATATTCTATGTTGCTGGAGTATACAAGGACTCAATACAACCCACGTGGTTACCATGATGTCTGCGGGCAGCCCATGAGACAGTTGAATGGACAGCAACGTTTACTCACGGAACCGTCCAGAGCACTGTAGAGCTAGCGCCTCTGTCTAGCAGGGTTGTGTGTCTAGCTCCTGTGCCTAGTAGGGTTGTATGTTTGGTTGTGAAGTGCCTTCTGATGACTGAGACGTGAACTCAACTTTGCAAGCTCATCAAGGAGGCTAGAGAGAGTGAGGCCTTAGACTGCATTTCATGGCACTTTAAGCTATGTAGCATTATTAATGAAAATACAAACCAGTTATTATTTATTATATTACATTACGTGCATTACAAGATGCCTTGAAATAAGGAATCTTTCCAGGTGGGAAATATTAGAGACTTTTCTGGCAAGTGTGGTAGGACTTGGTGTAAAATGGCACTGTGTCCAAAATGCATTGGTTTTGCCTTGAATATCTGCTGGGTAGATAACAATCTTGTTATTTAATAGGCATGCTGTCTTGTCAGATATTCTAAATGCTACAACAAATTTGTCACTGTTATGTCTTCTGATTTTCTGCAAATGTTCCTTTATACAGAATTGAGTCCGTTGAAAACAGTTTGTTAGTCCTGGTTTTGTCTTCCAGGTGTTGCAGTGTGTGCTGGATATAGGGGATCTGATATGTAGACAAAATACGTTGGTAAAATAAATAATAAGGTATACAGCTAATTTGTAGGTTTGGCAGGATGTCTTTGTGAACTCAGTGTACATAAAACACTTGATATTTGAAGATCCTAATTCTTCATTAATTTGCAGACCATAAACTAGAAATAAGACCCAAGAGATTTTTTTTCTTTTCGATCAAAATGTAAATTCTTGCTTCTTTATGAAGCCTTTACTATTAGCTACTTATCAAGGCTTGTTTAACCTTGCATGTCTCCCTTTGGTAAATACGAAGAATTTATACCCACTTGTGCTTTTTGGAAGGTTATGGCAGCATTGCTGCATCTGTATTCAGAAATACATTTGTGCACTTAATCAGTTAGATGTAATTGATGGTTGACTTTCACAGAAGCATTTCTAAACTCAGATGGCATAACTGTGAGGATAAAGGTTTTCTGAATTGCATAATCAAGATGTTTATGCCTTTTAATGTTTTTGTTCAACCATTTTTTTCAGCTGTGGAGCTTGTACTGAAACTAGTGCAAGTTATGTGTGGCATTTATCTTTCTTTTCATAGCAATTTCTTTGTGGAAGGTATATGTAGAGACTGTTATGAATGAGGAACAGGATATGATTCTCCATCTTGGTTTCCAGTTTCAGGTCTGTCCAAAAAGTTTGTGTGTTTCTACACCTGGGCACCGAACTGATCTCTTTCAGCGAGACCCTCAAAATGTTCTGATAACAGACTTCTTTGGCAGTGTGAGAAAGGTGGAAATTACGACAGAGACAATTTCTTTGGACCGTGACTTAGCTGTTTTTGAAAGCAAGTAAGTAGTCATTATTTAGACTTGATTTGTATAGGTCTGTGCGACTGAAACGAAATAGTCATGTAACTGTAAAGGAAAGAAGAACTCTGGTTTCCTGGCATTTCTTACAAAGAATCAGGGAGTTAGTATGGACCTGCTACTGTGATAAAGTTGGGGTTTGTCAGCTGAAAACTTTGTTTAAAAATGCTCACCCCTTTATTCAGGCTTGTAAATAAATACTGCTAAAGACCAAGGTGTGAATGTCAAAACCAAAAAATTGTCTAAAATTTTCTTTCTTCCTTAACATTTCTTCTTTAATGTGCAGAAATATTTTGTTACTGTAAATTCCTGCTTGTAATAGTTTACTCCCTCAGATAACCTCTGAGTATAAGCCATCAGTTAGTTGTTTCATAACAACTAGCTTTTTAATAAATGCTCTGTTTCTGTTCTGTGAATTCTCTGGCTTTTGACATTAACTGTCCTGGGAATTTCTGTTGCTGAGATGCAACAATTCATTTGAATAAAATTGCTGGTGCAAGTTCATTGATAGAAGTTGTAACAGGGCTTCCATTATTTTGTGGGTGAAGAAAGAATTATAAACTACTTTGTATTTTTGGTATTCTGTTGCCACCTATTGGGAACATGTAAAGGAAGATGTGCTTGTTCTGTAGAGTTTATTTAGCATTGCCCTTCCATTTCTGTTGCATCTTTATGTTTCATGATACTGTCCTCTAGGAGGGGGAAAAAAAAGGATTGAAATAGTCTGCTATGCCAGGGATGAAATATTTTTCAACTTGTACATTTATGTAAATTGTTGTCCAGCTTGTTTACTGTTGCTCAAATCAAAGAACAAGTTAGTGGATAGCAGTTTTATTAATTTTAAAGATAACAGAAGCTCTGGTCCTCATAATTAAAAATATCCTACACGGTTTAGTGTATTTCATATTTTATTTTCGTACTGTATTTTTATCTGTATCATGCACGTTAGTACTAACCATATATATATCTTAAGCTAATTCTGTGACGCCTTAGTTTAGAACAGTATTTAGTGACACTACATTTGTTTTTTCTCTGAAGAAAAAAAAGGTTTTGGCAAATAACAGACATTTTGCCAGTCAAAAACCATGATGAAAACTTATCTATGTGTGTTTCAAACTTGTGGAAGATTAAAAGGAGAAATAGGTTTTGGACAACTTTACTGTTCTGAAACAAGAAATGACTGGTTGGTGCCGATATACGAGGGGTTTTTAGGTATGTTGACACACCAGTGAATTGGACACATGGAAGCAATGTTCAGAAGTGGGCACTCATGCCCAGAGCGGAATATTACCATTGTGAAATGTTCTGATACTTAATGAAAGCTGTATTACATTACATGGCAATTCCAGTTAACTTAAATCTGTGAAATCGGAAGGGATAGGAACATGCTGGTTTAATAGCTAAATAGTTCTCCTTTAGCTTGGGAGAGTCTTTGAGAACATGTACACCTAGGAATGGAAGCGCACAGCAGCAGCAGCTTATGGAATACTGCCTCAAGTCTGTAACATGTATGACCATTTTTAAGTGGCCTCATGTAAAACAGCAAGTTATTCATTGTACTATATTCAGATACAATTTTCCAAAAAAGTACTTCAGTTCTCAGTTTCATGTTACCACTTTGGAAGACTTTATAGAGAATGTGTTTTTAATGGAGAAGAAAGTATGGTCTTTGTAGAAAAGTGCTGGGAAATTGCAGTATAATTGTATAGGTAGTGATGTGGAGTGCTTAATAAATTTCTTAAACAGAATTCTGAGGTCAGCACCTCTTAGTATGGCAGATCTGTTTTGCTACAACAAATTTAAGAATTATGGGTTGAAGTGAATTTATTAATGTAAAATGTTAATGCTTTTTAAAAATGCAGTTTTGGAGGATCTGCTCTGCAAGAACTCGTTACTCTGGTTTTATTTAAAGACTATTATAAACATTACACACATCTATTTCTGAGGCTGTTAAGAAGTCAGAACACTTCACAAATTATCTGATCTTGGAATAGATACTACCCAGATTGTCCCAAATTAATGTAAGAATGACCCTTGAATGAGAGAATGTGAGTGCATATTCTTAACCTCTGCAGTGTTAGTTAAACCATTCTGTGCATTTGGGAATGTGATGGCTGTTGATGCCCCAGATTGCACATTTATGTAAAATAGCTAGAGAAAGATGGGGCTGGCACAGCCTGGTTTATTCTTTTTGGTATCACTGGGAGAGATCTAAACCAAGCTTATTAAAAATGAATAATCCTTCCAAATTAGTCATAAATAATCTTGTTCATGTCTAACACTGTTTTAAAAGCCTTTGTGAAGAGGAAAAAGGTCATGTAGACTTGAAATTGTGCCCCTTAAAGGTTTGCAAGAAGTATTTACCAGGAAGTATCTGATAGATCACAAATATATACCACTAATATGAATTTTGATGTATTACGTTGGTTACTGAATGTGCAGATCTTTTTTATTCTGACAAAAATCTATGCAGAATCTTAAGTCTTTTCCTTTTTTCTTTATTGCATTCCAGTTACGGGTTTTTTTTCCCCTAAAAGATAATTTGCAGAGGTTTTATTGGTTTAATATTTGATACAGTCTCTTGGCTTCATTCCTTTATGAATCATTTCCTCTTTGTTTTATTCTTCCCACAGTGTTAGCTTGATACCTTTTTCCTTTTCCTTTTACACACTGGTGGCAGTAGAATGCTACAGAATATTTGTGTTACGGAGCATAACCAGAAAATGAAATGCAGACCTCGACTCTAATGCAGTCTTAAGTAGTCCACATTAGATGTGGTTTGTTTGTTTTAAAGTTGCAAGTGTCCTATGTGCAGATAAGGCATTAAAAACCAAACTAACAAAAGACATAAACCACGGATTACACAGATAATGGGTAAAGAAGATGCTGTCACGTGAGGCGTGAACGTGTATTGGGATTGTACTTGCTGGCAGAGTGAGTTTTCGACTAACCGACTGCTGTGACTTTGCCAAATCTTTTCAACAGAAGTTTGTTCTTTTGTTACACAATTGCTTAGCAATTAATTAGTAATAGGGATCCACTCCCAAGATCAGCGTGATGTATAGCTGTGCAACCAGATCAGAACTGGCATTTTCATGTTGAGCACAAGCTGTGACATTTGACGAGTGAGGCCTTTGAAGTTTCCTTTGGCTTTGGCTGAGACTCATACAAAGAACAACTACTAATTAACCAAAAGAGGCTTGCTTTCTATCCACGTAGTAGTAGGTGAATATTTGTGAGTAAAAGCTTTAAAAAATAAAAAGAAGAATCCTCTGCTGTTTCCTTTCTTCATAGCTGTTTCAATCTAAGCTATGTTCACTTCAAAGGGCTTGTTCTGCAGCTGCTGCAGTCCTGACTGGGTTTGTAGCTGCCGATTTTAGCAGAAGACCTGACAGTCTGGGCGTTCTGGGGCTTCAGCTGATTATATTTTTGTCTAAATCTCCATAAAAGAGCAAAAAGTAAACATTAAGGAGTAGAAAAAATGCTGCGTCTTTGGAGAAGGAGCCTTGCAGAGTTCAGTACATCTAATAATTAGGGGTGTTTTCTGTTAAACTTGGATTGTAACGCTACAGCCCATTGGAACACTTTCTCCTTTTCAGCTGCTATCATGAGGAAAAGATGTGTATCAGCAGAAAGTGCTGGTAAAAATTGGGATGTATATTTCTCCTGAGGGTAGTAAGAAGTGAATTAAAGACAGCGTCATATAAAACCATCCTAGTTTCATTGCTTTTGAGAATTGGGCTTCATATTTAATACTTCTGTTAAGAAGAATTGTGGTACTACTGGCAGTGACTGTTTTCCTAAAAATAAATAAATTGGCCACTTGTGTTAGGAAGGATGCTTGTGTAACAGAATAATTGTAATTGGTTCATTTGCAGTATGTTAATAGCTAATGTTCTCTCAATCTATTTTTTTTGTGTTATTGTCTCTTTTCTGTCTCTTTCCTGTCTTTTCTTTTCCACCAGTTATTTTCAGTTTGATGTGCTTAATAAGTAAAGTCGCTGTTGTGTATTCCTGAACCCATGGGGATCCAGTTTGTGAACGAATAGGTAATATTTTTGGCTAGTAGATGCTGTTCAGCTCAGTGGGCTTTTCTTAAATTAAAAAAGGCTGGGTTTGTTCTGAGATCACTGGTTTTGGTTTTGTTTTTTTTTTTTTTTTTTAACCAGATGCCTCAGATTTGTAATTCTTTCAAGTTTTGTAGATCATTTTTAGGACTAATTCTGAAAGCTCTTGTTCTCCGAGAAATTCCCAGTTCTCGTTTGCATCCTGACTTGCTGTTACGTGAGTGATAAATTCATACGGGCTCCCCCCGCCCCCCGTTTGCGTTTCCCACCCGGTCTTTATGCGAAGGCCTCGAAAGATAAAAGTTGCCGGCTTTCTTCTGGTGACGTGCCCTGCGTTGCAGAAACAGGTTTGGGCAGCGCTCCCCGCCGTGCGGGAGGCGGCTCCGGCTGAGCCGCAGCCGGTGC